CCAGAAATCCCTTCATCTCAGTCAGATATAGTGAAAGAGCTTATAGTGAAAGACTGTGTGGACTGACTGAGAACGTGGAGGTAGGAAGAAGAGAAGGAGAAAGGTTCTCAGAATTGGACTGCCCCTGAACATAGGATGGAATCATCTAGACTTTTTTTCCCTCCAATTAAATTTGCATTTCATTTTACCACATTGTGATTGCTTCACTCTAGACATTCTCATTTGAGGCCCAAGGCTTTTCTTCATGGGTTCTGAACCACAGGTTCCTGGATGGTGAGGTAAGTGACATTTGCCAGCACTGTCTAGAAGCCCAGTGGTCATGAGATCCACCCTGTTAGGCTGTAAGATTTGTCTACTGTCGCTTCTTATTGACCCAAATGCCCTTCAGGGATCCCCAGCCAAGCGATAGATGTTAGTCCGGCCTCACAATGCTAATCTCATCCATAAAACAGACCCCAGGATTGACCAGATAAGAATTTGTTGAGGTCATTGTGCTCTCCTTCTCAAAGACAGTCACTACAAAAAGTGTGGTTCTTGGAAAACCCACCGTACCTAGAAATCATATCCACCTCATTTTATTTCCACTTTTATTGGTAAACCAGAGCTAATGGAAGATGCCGGGTTTTCACAGGTGAGCTGCAAGTCTCTCGTCTCATGACATGATTCAGACTCAATCTGTTACTTAACTCATAGCCTTGCCAATAAGTACAAAAAAACTGGCCAGTCCAGCAAATATGTTAGTGCATTCTTGCTCTGCGCCACAGCCTGTATTTATTGGACTACCAATTAAAGAAATGTGGAGCCCATTTTTTTCCTGTTGGCCTATCAGATATAGTGATCCAAGCAGCTAGTTTCAAGGCATTTTCAATGGTGAAAAGATAAAAAGTGTAGCTAATTCATGAACTTGTGATTGAGCTCTTCCCACCTACCGAATTCACGTATGGTAGGCAACGGTCTATCAACCACAAAATTAGAGCCAAACTCACAGAGGCATCTTGAAGCACCCCTCAGAGAGTTTTTCCCCCCTATAGTCTGTGCTTTTCAAGCTCTGGTCCTCTTCTATTTAGCATCTGCTAAACTAGAGCATGCTGGCATCCTGAGCCCTACCCCACACTACCTCTGTAGCTTTAGTCACCTATCGTGTGCTTGCTCTGGCTTCCTCGTCTTTGCTTAGATCCTCACCATGAAACCCACTCTAGATATTCCTGGGTGACCCTCTGAGTCCCTTCTCCCAAATGTGCCTTTCATCTGACAAGGCATGGGAAACCCTATCATCTGGTTCTCCGGGGTGTCTAGCAGAGTAGCGTAGGGAGGGAGGAAGGCATTTGAAAGAGCTTGCTCCTTGATAATGAAGGTGTGCGAAGAAGAGATAGTGTCTTAACTGTTCTGAAGTTGAACACTGAAATTGTTTGGAGGTGGAGAGCTGAGAATTTTGAATGCTGGTGGCAACACAAAAAAAACGGGGGTTGGTGGTGGGATCCTAGTCCCTTTCTTCCAGCATGCAAGTGGTCCCTAAAAATGTCACTCTCAGACCTCCAAATATGCTGGCTTCTAAGAAGTATTTCCCAAGACTGAATGTACCTCGATCAGGGTAAGTGATGAAAACATGTACTTAACAGGGGAAGGGGATCGTAGAACAGCTTGCATTACGCATGCTGTGGCTCATCTCCCCCATGGTGCTAATGCCTTAGCTTCTGAAGTTTTCAGAATCGGGAACATGAGCAGGGATGCCAGTTTCTAAAGGAGGAAAGGAAGACTTGGATCACTGGCCAACCCAAATGCATATTTACTGCTGTTCTCCCCTAAAGACAGCTTTCTTGGAAGACTGGACTGGGGGGTTTCTAAGTCCTCCCTAGGGCCACGCAAAGGGCTTCCTCAGTGGAGGAGTAAACATGGCTGGGTGGACGTAAAGTTTGCTGCATCTCCTCTCCACACTGGCTGGCTTTGGACAGATCTCTTGAGTTTTGGATGAGGCTGAGCCAGCAGGTGCTTTCCTTGGTAGACTTGGAGGGGGTTTCTTCTCACGCACAGATTGGCCTTTTAGGGGGGTGGTTCTCCTGGCAAAGGGAGAATGAATCAGTTTCATTATTCAGGCCACTGCTAAGAAAGTCCCAGACATCTGCAATTCTACTCGATGGTGCCTAGAACTGGGATATAAGAGACCAGGCCCTGGAATAGAGGCCCCATGATGGAGTGGTACAGGCATGAGTGTTGGAGCCACGCAGATATGACTTTTATCGGATACCAAGTTTTACCAACTCCAAGCTTTAAGGCTTTTGGACAAGTCACTTTCAGCTACCTGGTTTCCATTTCCTTAGCTTTAAATTGGGAAGAATAATAACTAATATTTCTGGAGTGATTTCTGTACTCAACAACCCAGTTGGGTTGGTAACATTGTTATGATGCCTCAAGTATTGGATCATTTATGTAAAAGTGCCCAACACAGTGTCTGTCACAGTGCTGGTGCTCAAAACCCACTGGTTTCTTTTTCCTCTGCTCCATCCCTTATTTAGGTTCAAATAGGTCTACTCCCTCACGGGGAAACACCTTTTGGCAAAGAGGTGTTGAATCACTCCCCTTGGTTCATCCCCTGGGACCTGCAGTTTTTTCCTTCTCTAAACCTAGTACTTTACTTACTGGCATTTTTCTTGGTGCTTGGGGAGGAGACAAGAGACACAGGCAGGACATTTCTGGGCTTCACTGACCCTGAAAGAAAGGAGACTTGGTTCTTTACAAGGGCTTGGTGACAACAGCCTCCCCACCGGCCCTCTTGGGAGAATAAGGGGAAATGAGTCGTCTTCATGCTTGGGATGCCCAGGAATGGGTTGGCGGTGCAGAAGGTGGTTTTCCGTGTGCAGAGGTTCCACATCAGTCCATGAATGCCCTAGGTGCTTAGCTCGAATGCTCGGACAGGCATTGCCAACCATGGCACTTAGCAAAAGGTGGTAGGAGAACTCAGAAAGCCAAGGACACCAACCAGCTCTAGTCCAGGCGTGTACCAAAGGGGCTCAAGTGATGCGGAGGAGAAATGGAGGAGGCTGGCTACTGAGGACTAACTCTCTGCAAACATTTCTGCTGAGCTTCCTAGGCACACCCCCACCTGCAGTCTGACCAGGAGGCTTGATCCCAGTAGCAAAACCGGGTGGTGGCAGAGGGGCGCCCTCTGGCAGGGGGAGACACTGAGTCCACAGGTCCACTAAAGCTTGAGGAGTACGGTTTTGGCTGCTACATTGAGCACATTTCCTCTACTTCCAAGTCTACCTCGTCTGGTAGAGCTAGAGTCACGGTTTGCTGAAAGATGTCAAGGGACCCCCACCGTGACCTCAAATGAACCTGCCTTGATCTCAACATAGACACGATGGTATCCAACCACCGTAGTAAGTAGGTCACATTATTTTAAGTGGTCTCCTCTCTACATAGGAATTAGATGGTCTCTGTGAAGGTGCCCATTTATATGAATTAATGCTTGCACATATCTAGTCTCCTGTCTCCATTACCCACTCTTGTGCCTTTAGAATCATCCTTAGCCTGGCGTTTTCATGACTCCAAGAAGGCTGCCCTGAAATGCTGCTGCCACGTGATAGGGAAGCTTTCCTGTCCATCAGGCCACATGTCATGATACCATGTGATAAGCCACCTTCAGTGGAACACCCAGGGCTGCCTACCTCCCATTGATACTTCTTCTGACTGCACACCTCCCCCCTGCAGCCCTATTCTTGCTTGCATTCATACATGCATTCGTGGAGCTAAAAATAAGAAGCTGCTGATGGGCTGCTGCCCTCTGTCTCTGTTTGTAGGCAGAACTTAATCCACAGACAGGAATTGAGGGTACACCATGGGCTTAAGCTTAAATCAAAATCTCTGAGGCAAGCTACGGTGAAGCCTAGGAAGGTGTGAAGAGAGAGAAGATAGGGTTAAAGGTCACACTGATGGAAGGTCCACCCATGATCACTCCCAGGCCTGGTGTCCCAGATTGTAGCAGTAACCAACCTCTGGAAGACTGTTTATGGGCATCAAGGGAAACCACTGTCAGGGAATGTTAAGGATGAGGGTGAATAAAGGTGATAAACCAGGTATCAAGCCAGGTCTCTGCTTTCCAGTGTCCCCCCTGCCTGTCCGGGCAAGGGTTATGTGAGTTGAGATTTGGGCAGGGTAATCCCTGTAGGGTGTGATTTTGTTCAGATCCTTCAATTTGCAGGAATTCTTCCCACTTCCATCACTCCACCAATCCATAAACCCTTTGTCATACTGAGGTGTGGCAGGTCTTCTGCTGAAACCTTCAGATTCAGAACCAACACACCGAGGCGTGTGAGTGCACACACACACACACACACACACACACACACACACACGCTTTGTCACCCTCAGGAAAAAAGCTCCATTCGGATAGGTTTAAAAATAGCACTGATCCACTGGGCTCCTTTTTCAGGGATATTATTTTAAGAAGAAGAAAAAAATAAAAGGTCTCTTTGTGGGTCTTTGAGAGAGAGAAAGGGTAAGCCATCACCTAGTCTTTAAAAGTTCTGGTCATGTCGCTGGGGACTGAGCATCTGCATCTTTGTTGAATTTTCTCCTCCCTCACCATTCAACAAAAGTTGTTTATTGGTGACTCCCCTGCCATCAGGATATCTGCGGAGGTGGGTTCCCTTTTTGCGTGGTGAGGCGGGGGCGAGGCTGCAGCAGCGAGCCGGCCCTCCCCCCCCCCCCGTGACTCCTGGGGCCCAGGGCCTGGGAAGCCGCCCCCCATCCCGGGGAGCCCCTAAACGCTGCTGGCCATTTACAAAGGGGAGTGTGCGCGCGCGCGTGTGCGTGTGCGCGTGCAGCTGCAGGCTCGCTTGTCCCTGCCCGGGAGTCTGTCTGTCTGTAGCTCTGGGAGGCTGCAGCTGGCCGATTCCGTGGGAGACCAAGCAGGATGCGTGGGCAGAGGAGCCGGAGAGGGGGAGGGGCGGGGGGGAGGCGAGAGCGGGGGCACCGCGCGGCCCTAGGAGCTGGCGCCTGCGTCACTCGCGGAGCCGGGGCGCTCTGCCCCACCGGCGCCCAGATCCACCCGAGTCACGGCCCTCGCTGCCTGCGCGGGCGCGGCCGCCGAAGGGCGGGGAAAGGACGCCGCTGCCCTGCCGGGTCGCGCGGGCTGCGGGGGGTCCCGGGCGGATGGGGGGGATGAGCTGGGGATGAGCTGGGGGCGAGCTGGGGATGAACTGGAGCGAGCTGGGGATGAACTGGGGGCGAGCTGAGGATGAACTGGGGGCGAGCTGGGGATGAACTGGGGGCGGGCTGGGGATGAATTGGGGCGAGCTGGGGATGAACTGGGGCGAGCTGAGGATGAACTGGGGCGAGCTGGGGATGAGCTGGGGCGAGCTAGGGCAGAACGGGCTGAACTGGGGCAAGCTGGGGCTGAACTGGGGCGAGGTGGGGATGAACTGGGGATGAACTGGGGCGAGCTGGGGATGAGCTGGGGCGAGCTGGGGGATGAGCTGGGGATGAGCTGGGGGATGAGCTGGGGATGAGCTAGGGCGAGCTGGGGATGAACTGGGGCGAGCTAGGGCGAACTGGGGCGAGCTAGGCGAGCTGGGGATGAGCTGGGGCGAGCTGGGGGATAAACTGGGGCGAGCTGGGATGCTGAGCTGGATGCTGAGCTGGGTGCTGAGCTGGAGATGAGCTAGGGCGAGCTGGCGCTGAGCTGGGGCGAGCTGCGGCGCCGAGCTGGGGGCCCGCCCTCGGGCCGCAGCAGCCAGCACGCCCGGGTGGCGGCCGCCCGCGCCGAGCACAAAGCGCCGAGTGCGAGCGGGAGCCTCCTCCCGGCCGCAGCCGACCCACCGAAGAGGAGAATCTGCGCGTGACGTCAGCAGCTCCTGACTGACGCAAGCTGGCAGAGGAGACTCAAGGCGGCTGCTCCGCGCTGCCTTCAGGAGTCTATTTTCTCCAGCCCTCTCGTAGTGAATTTACTAGAACGCAAAACACACACACGCACACACACACACACACACACACGCACGCACGCACATGCAGCTTTCAAAATATACATTTCCAAAGGCGGTGTGTTGCAAACACAGCGCGATTTTGCAAAGCATGGGTGGGAAACGTGGGAAGGGTATGGAAGCTCTTTTTTTTTTTTTTTCTTCTTCTGCTTCTTCTCCTCTCCCTCATTTGGGAATCTCCATCGTGGATAGCGTTAGACTCCAGAGCTTGCTTGGGAAGCTCCTCTGGGGAAGGGGCCTAAGCACCCCCTTTCCCCGCCCCCCCTCCGCCCCCCAGCAATCAGGGAATCTGGTCAATGAAGACAGGCAGCTCTAAAAGAATACAACCACTCCAAAGCCTTCTGCTGGGGAGACTGCAAGGAGCTTGCAACAGGCAGAGGCAGACGGGAGTTAACGGGAGGGTGGGAAAACATAATATTTGGGTATTTTTTTTCCTCTTTGAAAAACATCACCTGCAGTAATGCAAGCGAGTCTGGTGGTGCAGAAACAAGTGGGGAGGGGGCGCTTAATGCACATTTAATGTTTTGGATGTAACGTTCCAGCGAAATGCCTTTGTGTGTGGAGGTTTTTTCAGTTCTTGCTAAAAATAGCATCAGGGTTTGATCGTGTTCCAGAAATAGACCGAGGGCTGTACTGGATAAAAAGCCAGCGCGGGTGGAAGAAAACCTGGACATCACCGCATTGCCTCCCCCCAACTATGTCTGGAAATTAATTGTTGGATTTTTCCTCTCCTCTCTCCTGTCTCCCTCTCTGTCTCCACTTTCTCTTCCCTCCCCCTATGTTTCTCTTTCTCTCTCTTAAGGAGTTCCCGTTTGGGTAAGTAATATTATGTCATGTGCATGCCGCAGACTGTGAGTATGAGCTGAGGCTTACTTTGTGCATGCTCTGGGGTTCTTTTTTTGGCTGCCTTTCTACCCCTTTCTGAAGAAGAGGGTGGGACTGAGTGGAGGGTGAGGGGCATAGCTGTGTGTGTGTGTGTGTGTGTAATGGATTTGGGGCTGCATGCAAAGGAACTGAAAGGGGGAATTCTTGCAGAGCCGGGAATCACCCTGACGAATCTCTGAATCAATAGCTGCTGCAACTCCCTCTCTCTTTATGGGTCGGCGCTGTTGAGCCCGGTTTTCTCGCCTGCCCCCCGCCCCTCCCGGTTTTCTCTGTCTTAAAGGGTGCCCAGATCCCACTTAATGGACCATCTCGCTGCGAGATTAATGGAGGCGATGTGATATAAATTAAAATTGCATGGATGGGGCCGGGAGGTAAAGAGGGGGACAACCTCTGCTCCCTGGACAGGCTTCCCTGGGGTGGGAGCCGAGGCCCGGGAGCCCGGCCCGCGGCTCAGGGCGCGGCAGCTGTCCACCGAAGCAGGTGCTGAAAATCCCTCGGTCCGCGGCGAGCCCGGCTGCGAGCGCCAGGGGGCGGGGTTGGCGCCAGCTGCGGGGAGCCCCGCCCCGGCTGCGGGAGAGGGATGCGGAAAGGAGCGGGTTAAGGATGTTCAAAGGGGAGAGTCGTGACTTCGGCGAGAGCTTTGGGGAAAAGGAGGGGTGAGTGGGAAGGAAAGGGAAAAAAAATTAAAGGAGGGGGGGAGCCAAGTGTTAGATTCGAGGATGAGCCAGGGCCCAGCGCTCCAGGAACCGAAAGCCGGTTGCTCACCAGCTTTCTTCGCAAAGGCCAGTCCCTCTCTGGGTCTCCATTCCCAGGCTCCCGCACCTTCCCGCCAGTGAGTTTGAAAGATTTCTCTCCGGTGATGGTGACTCTCAAAATAAGAGGCTATAGGTTGCTTTATTCGGACCCTCGCCGCCTCCCCCTTCATGCCCCCCACATCCTGCAGTTCCCCAGTAAGGTGTGTAAAGATGTGTCTGTGCATTATGGCATTTTTCTTACTATCCCCCCTTCCTTCGCGTCCTAGTCACAGGAGCCCCAAATGAGTTGTGGTATGAATGAATTAGAAACCAAAGCACAGGAGTTGCTGGTGCGATGCGCAGAGAATCCAGGCTTGGGAACGACGCGCGGCGCCTTAAAGTCAAAAGCCAAAGGGCTTCTGGAAACCGGCTCCGAGGGAACCTGGGAAATGGGGGGGTTCTTCCCCAAGTCGCCAAATGTTATTGAGGAGACGGTCAAGTCCCTGGGGTTATGGGCTCGACCCAGAGTGAGATTCATTGCAGTCAGCTCCAGACACTTTGACCAAACCTGTAGCCAGACAGGTGAGGAGGGAGGAAGGTTATCAGAGGCCAGAGCGGGGATGAATATCACGCGCACACAAAGACATTCATGCTGATTAAGTCCTCCGCCAGGGATAATAAAAAAAAAAAATGCATCCTCTAACTGGCCCACAAAGGTGGGCCGAACACGTTAGGGGGGATGAATCTTGCAGATCTGCAATAAGCTTGTTTGCATACAGGGATATTTTCTACATAATTAAAAAAAATAAACTCGGGATGGTGAGGTAAGTATCTGGGGAGGGGATAGCCCTCAGGTGAGAGAGGAGGAGAGCCCAGATGCTCTGCACTCCCCTTGCCCCGCTCTAAAGCAGCAAGTCTCTGGCTTCCATGACCTGACCCCCACGCAGGGCACCCAAGGCGCAGCCCTCAGGGGGAAAATAAAGAGGGTGGGTCCAGTTATTTTTAGTCCAGGAGCAGTCCCTCTCTGCAAGGCTCCCCGGCCGAGAGAGACTGAGTATTCGTCGACTCACAATAGTAACAAGGGCTGTTACTGATGTTGCAGAGAATAACACAAATAACGCTGCAGCCCACACGGTGCCTGGGCAATTCAGCTCCAACCATAGCTGCTCGCAGCTCTCGGCCCACCCCTCGGCCTCCTCGTCATTCACCCGGACCCACTCCTTTCTCCCCCCCAGCCTCGCCCCTCTCGGTCCCCAAAGTTGCGTGGTCGTGTTTACAAATTCTGGCACATTTGCAAAGAAACTAGCTGGGGGTGGGGATGGGGGGGCTGGAGCGGCCGGCCTGGGAGGGGTAGTAGCGCTAGAAAACACTTGCAGCACGTGGAGCAGCGGTGATGGTGGGGAGGGGAGGGGGTCCAGGAGTCCTGGAGCAGGAGGGGGGATGCCTCCTGTCCTCGTTTCCCCCATCCCTCTGCACAACGCACAAGTTTACCCCCGGACTGGATCCTATTAAATAATTCAATGGCAGCGGTGTAATTTTGGTTGGAGCCAGCACGGATTCCCAAGTCGTGACTGCAAAAAGTGAGTAATGCGCGCTGGCTGCGTCATGGCTCTAGTCACAGTTCATTCCGAACTGAGAAGGAATCGTGACTTTGCCTGGAGACGTCCCCTACATGGGAGACGGCGGGTGGGGGGGGAGCCGAGCCGGGGGAGCCGGGGGTGGGGGGAAGACCTGTCCAATGAGAACCGCTGCCGGGGGGGGGGCATCTGGAGGCGCCGCCCGCCGTCTCGCTCTCCCCGCCCGGCCCGAGCCCCTCTCCCCCTCTCCCCCTCTGCCCCGGCCCCCCTCCCGGCCGGCGCGCTCGCTCGCTCGCTCGCCCGCGGCCCGACGAGTCCTCAACAAGTTGGAGGAAGGCAGGAACGCAGGGGTTAAGCTCGGGGAGCGGCAATTACCGAGATCGTGACCCTCCCACACAGTACAGTAACTTATATACTTACCTGGAGAGCCCGTCCGCCGCCGGGCGGGCCCCGTGGGGGCGGGGAGGCCGGGGGGAGCGGGCCGCGCGGAAGGGACTCCCGGAGCCGGCTGCAGTGCGGACGGGACCGGCGCGCTCCGGGGCCCCGGGCCCAGGTAAGGAGCCGGGGCGGGGGGGGGGGGCGCCGGCGGCAGGTGGGCTGCGCGCAACTTTTCCTCGCGTGGGCCCGCGGCGCAGGGGCGGGCGCAGACCCGGGAGCCCCCCGAGCGCTCGGGGGGCGTGTGCGCGCGCGTCTCCGGCGGCCGTGCCCGGGGTGCTGGGCCGGGGATGGAGCGGGATGGAGCGGGATGGAGTGGGATGGAGGGGCGGGGAGGAGGGTCTACAGGCGCCCGGGGACGCGGGCTACTCCGTCCAGGGGCGCCCGTCCCCGGCATGCGGAGCAGGAGTGTGTGCGCGCCCGCGCCCGCCGCACGTCGATCCCGGGCAGGCAGGGGACAAATATGGCAACTTTGTTGCACTGTTTGCAGCATCCCACCCTGGCTGAGTTTTCCCCCGCGGAGGCGGCGAGGAGACTCCGGTTGGGGAGGGAGGTGCTCGGAACGTTCCCTTGCCCACGCCCTTCTTGGATACGGGGGGCGGGGGGGCGCGCCGGAGCCGACGCGGGAAGGGCGGCGCTGCGGTGGGAGGAAGGAGGGCAGCCCCTCAAAGTTTGGATGGATGGCGGGGCCGCGGGGGCCGCGGGGGAGAGGGGGAGCGGGAGCAGGGAGGACGCACGCCAGAGATCGCCCTCCTCCCCGCCCCTCCCCGCTCTTTCCTTCTGCAGAGGCCAGAATCTCCCGCGGTTGTGGGAGCCGGCGACCCGCGAGGGGCTCGTCCCTTGTTGTTCCCCTCAGCCATCTGCAGAATGGGGAGGAAGGGGGGGCTGCAGCAGCGCAAGGGCAGCTGAGGCGAGTGGGCCACGAGACACCCCATATCTAGACGGGTCTGGGGAAGGGTGCAGAGGGAGGAGCTTCACCACCGCTCTTGAGCATTCAGAACTTTTTTTTTGGTGGGGGGAGATTGAGACATTCTCATTTCTCTAGAAATAGGCTTGACTATCGTGGAGTTTGGATTTATTTTATGTTCATCTTTGCCTGTCGTTTTCTGTCTGCATCTTCTGGCTTGGATCCCGTTGGGAGAGGTCTCTCTCCCTCTCTCTCTCTCTCTTTCTCTCTCTCTCTCTTTCACCCTCCCTTGCTCTGTATCTTGCACCCCTCCCCTCACTCGGGCTGGGATACGGGGGGGAGGTAGGGGTCCCGGCCAGCTTTTTTGCAACAACAAGATTTTAACGTGTTCCAGTCTGGGTTTTGTTGAATAATTAGAAATGGAAATATTTTTTCCCCTCCCTCCCCCTTCTGGGAAAAAAAAAAAAAAGGGAAATGTGAGCTCTGCCCTGATTGGTGGGTGACGATTTTAGTCCGCACCAATGAGCGGGCGGCCTGGTCTGTATTTATTTAGTGCTCTGGGGGAGTTTTTCTCTTTACGCAGCGCCTGTAGTCACGGCTGGAACCTCGGCTGGGGGACTAGGAGGGACGGGAGCGGGCGCAGGGGGAATCCGAACTGTACCTGTTCGGAGATGCGCGACCTTGTAGCGGGGCTGGCGGAGCCCCGGAGGGGGCCGCGGGCTGGTGGGCCGGCCCGGCGGGGAGGCTCGGGGCGCCGCGCGCGCGGACGGGGTGGAGGCCGGGCGCCGGGGTGCCTGGTTCCTCTCCGCGCTCCGCTCCTCTCCCTCCACGCGCCTGGCTCGCGCCTGTGCGGGCCGAGCCGGGGGTCGCGGGCGGCGTGGAGGAGGCGCGGGGGGCGCGGGGCGCGCGCGGGGCGGGAAGGCTGAGCCGCGGCGGAGCGCGCAGGGGAGGCCGGCGGGCTCGGCGCCGGGTTCGGAGCCACCCCGGGCTGGAGGCGGCGGCGGCGGCGGCGGCGGCGGCGGACCGAAGACGCCGGCAGACTCTGCCCTTCGCGAATCTTTTTGCGGTCTGGGCTTGCTGTACATAACTCGATAGCCGGAAGCCCTTACCCCAAAAAGCATTCGCGGAGGGCGCGCTCGACGAGAGGACGGCGGCCAGCAGCGAGGGCCGGAGCCCGCACCTTCCCGCAGCGGCTCGACCCGAGCCTTCCCGGCCCTTTCCCCGCGTTCCACGGAAGACACACACGGTCCCTTCCTTCCCTCGCGTCCTCCCCGCGCTCCCGGGGGGCACTGGTCACCCGCCCGTCCTCCGCGCGGGTCCCCCGCCCCCAACTTCTACATCGACTTTGTATCACAGGGGGAATGGGAAGCAGGCGGTGCGCGTGTGTTTCCCGAGAAGTGGAAAGAAGCTAAAATACAATAAAAGTTTACAGAAGTTGTGTCTTCCCCCCGCCCCCGCCCCTGCCCACGCCCCGCATAACCCCGTCCACCCCCTGCAAGAAAAGGGACCCGGTCTGAAGGCCAAGTCACTAGCTGGGATGCGAACCAGTTTGGGACACGTCCTGGGCGTTTTCGCCCTGATGATCCGGGTCTGCAGTGTAGGGGTGGGGAAGCCCTTGGGGAGGGGCGGGAGGCCCTCTGCGCCCTCTGCCCCGGCGTGGGGGACCCGCAGGTGCGGCGGCCGCGGGGGACTGGGCAGCTCCGAAAGACGGAGAACACCCAGGCGCCGCCCGCTGCCCGCACTCTTCTTACCCCCCGCACCTGCTTCCAACCTAATTTGGGGCGTTTGGCAACCTCAGGTCTCTCCCATCTCATCCTTTTCCAAACTAAGTAGCACGGAAGGGGGTAAAACAGGCGAAAGCTGGGGAAAGCCCCGCAGAGAAGGCGCCTTGGAGAGATGTGCTTGCACCCGACTCTGCAGCCTAGCAGCAGCAGCAGCAGCCCTGCCTTGGCCTCTCCAGGCGCCCCGTCCTGGGGAGGGGAGCGGAGCTGCAGGGCTGAGGATCGCCTGGGGGTCCCCCTCCTCCCCTTGCAGTCGTTGGCACTTGTGATACAAGTGGCACAAATCAGGCCTTCCCCGTGCTCTGCGCCCCGTGTCCTTCGCCAGCTAGAGACAGTGCTAGACGCCCTTAGGGACTGGGCCAGAAGGACACACAGACACTGGCCGGCGCCCACAGGGAGAAACACGGGTAGAGGATGAGTCTAGGGATGGGGGAGCCCGAGACCCGAGGGACGCGAAGCTTCGCGTTCTCGGGGAGGGCCCGAGCCACCCCCGCGCCCCAGCCCCCGCTGCCCAGTGGTGCGAGCGCCCAGCCCCGTGCCCCTCGCCGCTCCGGGCACCCAGACTCCGCCGTGTGCCGGGAGGCCCGAGGGCTGGGAGTCCGGGCGTGCTGGGCACGGCCACCCTCTCCCGGCTGCGCCGCGGGAAGGCTCCGCGGGCGAGGACAGCGGCCTCCAGGGCTGCCGCAGAGCCCCTCTCCCCAGATAAAGGAGATTTTCCCTCCCTGCTTGCGTTTCCTGAGAGAGTAAAAGGGGCCCTAAGATGTGCAAAGGAGATGGAGCGAGAGCAAAAGCCCGGGGGGCTTCCCCCCTGCCTCTCGGCCGGGGCCGTCTGTGGAGCGATGGCTGCGGCCGAGCGATGCGCGCAGGGGCCGCCTTAGCCTAAGGACAGCTTCGCCCCGGGTCCCCCGGGCTCCCCCTCGGCTCCGGCTCCCTCCTGCCCCCTGCCCGGCCCGAAGCCCTCGCCCCCCCCCCCAGCGCGACCTCCCGCAGAGCTGGGCCCGGCGGCCTTGGAGAGCGCACCTGCCCTGGAGGCCAGGCCGCGCTGCGGGGTCACTGCGGCCGGGCCCCGCGCCACCACCCCACCCCCGGACAGGGACGGGGCCGGGGCCGGGGGCTCCGGAGCCGCGGCCGGCGTCGTGCACACAGCGAGGCCCGGCTCCCCCGCTCAGCCGGACAACTGTTGCTGCCTCGAGGCGGCTGCGCCCGCAGCTCCCGAGCCCGCGCCCGCTGCTCGCCCTCCGCCCGGCCCCGGGGCCTGCAGTGGGGGGGAGGCTGGGCCGGCCGCGGGGCGCCCAGGGGAAGGACCCCCGCCCCCCGCAGTAAGGGCTAGTGTGGGGCCTGGGGCCGCTTTGCTTCCTCCTGCAGGCGGAGGCGTAGCCCGAGGCGGGGTCTCCCCCTCCCCACCCCGCCTTGCTGGGAAGGAGGGGTGCTAGCTTAGGGCCCTCGACCGGCTGATGCACACCCCTCTTGAAAACAGCCACGTCACCCGGTGAGCCAGGGGCCTGATGGAAACTTCCAGGCCCTGGCACCTGATGTGGGCCTCACGCCCCTACAGAGAAGCGGGTCGGGGTGACCGCAGGAGACCCTTCCTCCCCGTCCCCTCGCCCTGCCCAGGGGGTCCCGCAGCCCTCCAGGGAGCCCTCAGCCAGCTTAGTCTCCGGCTGTGCTGGAAGAGCAAGGCCAGAGGTTGTCTCTGGAGCTAAGGAAGGGGTGCAGGCACCACGGGGAGGCACCCCCCCACCCCGGCCTTGTGCCCTCTAGTGGCTGGGCCGGCCTGGCCAAGGCGGGGGTGAGGGTGCACCTGCAGTCCCCTGCCCTCCTCTGCACCTGTGACCACAACCAGGTTTTCCCCCTTGGCCCTTCTGTCCTCTTCCCAACACCTGAGGTTGCTTTGAGTCCTTCTGCCCAGCTGCCTGATGTTGGAAGCAAAGGAAGGGGCTGAGGTGGAATCCAAGAATCCTGGGCACACTTGCTGCAACCTGAAGCCAAGACCTCCTTTGTCCCAGAGACTTCTCCAACCCGGGTGCTTGGTGGGCATCCCTGGAGAGCTCTCCTGGGGCATCAGCATCCCTGCTTTGCAGCCCCCTCCTTGACTTCCCATGAAATGTCCCTGCCCCCCAGCTCTGTCACTCGTCTCCTCAGCCAGCAGAGTAACCCTCCCCATCTTTTTCCCTTTCAGGTAGTCAGACCTGTCCTGACAGCCAGCCGGAGGTCTACAGGAGGGGTGGCCACAGAAGGAGGGAGTCCCAGAGGCCTCAGGGACTGGCGAGTCTGAACGAATGAGCACCCGAGTCCCAGGTGAGTGAAAGACACCCCAGCCCAGGGCCCCTTGGCCTGGGCAGAACCGAGGAGACCCACACACACTGCTCACTTGGCGATGCGACACAGCAAGTCAGGGATCCAGTGCTTGGGGACAGTCCTCAGTGGCTTCTTTTGGCAAAGAAAGGCACCCATCACAGAGGCCACTAGGAAAGACAGTGCCCCCCGAGATGGCCCCCGTCCTGTTTTATCCTCTGGCAGGACTTAGGCCCGGGTGTGTGCAGGCCCCCAGCACTGAGGGGCGCAGGACTTCTCAGTGGGGCACATGGTCCCCTGCCACCCCTGACCTCCTGGGCTATTTCTGACCTCTCGAGGCCCCGGGGAGGTACAGCCTGGCAAGGTTATTTGCTGAGCCCAGTTTCTCTGAAGAAATGGAAGTGTTGAGTTCTTTCTCCTTCACTGAAGTTGAGCATAGGACAGGCAGGAAAAGTTTTAGGTTATTGATTTTTTTTTTTTTTGAGGGGTAAGGCTTTAAACTCTCGATACATTTACTTTTCCTATTAACCAGCACAATCCTCTGCTATCAAGCTCTTGTTTAGCTGCCTTTCTGAGCTTCAGAGTCCTATTGTGAATTCATATGGGGGAATTCAGTGCAGAGCTTGGCAGAGAATTTTGGAAGTCCAAGGCTGTTGGATTTGTAAGGGAGAGAGCGAGCTACCTGGCTAATCCTTGGATGTTACGTGAGCAAAATGTAGGAAACTGCCGGAAATCTTTGAGGGGGACTTGAGGCTCGGGGCAGAACAGAAGCAAATTGCATGCAAGACCTTCAGCTGATTATAGGACAGGCCTGTTTGCTGTATGAATTGAATGACTGCTACGTGGATTGTTTGGAATGTTTACATTTTGAAAGTGGAACTCAAAGAAGAAATAAATTTGACTGGAATCCTCTACAGTCCTACCCTGTAAAGTGAGGGCAAGGTCTTCAAATCCTTCGCTGACCCTAACTCCCTTTAAGTTCCCCTTTTAATGTAAGGATCTGAAGTTAACAACATCTGTTTTTGGACAGTAGGGTTGTTGTTCACTCCAAATGGTTATTAGCTCCCCCTCCCCCACCGATATTTCAGTTGCATTGCAGAGAAGGCTGAGAAAATAATACAGGGATGGGATTTTCTTGCCTGAAGGGTAACCTCTTCTGATCATGTTTGAAAAAAAAATCTGTCAGTGGGTTAAATCTCCCGTTTAGATATAATCTGGAGCATGCAAAAGTTAGCAAGAGCCATCGAGGGTGTACAGACCAATACTTTCGTGTTATAAATCCAGACAGAGGTTCAGAGAGGTTGGGTGCTTTTACCAAGGTCACACAGCTGGGGCTCGCACTCCGACTGTTTATGGTCTACTCTGGGTTCTTTCTTTTTTACTAAATCTTTCCTACCATTGCCAAATAATAAGATCATCAATAAACACAACCCAGGGCGTTGTAACGGATTCCCTTCCAAAATGACTTGCATTTAGGAAGCCAGGGTTCAAAGAAGAGTTTACCGAAAGTTTCTTCTGCTGGCCATTAGCATTCTGGAAGCATCCCTAGGCCAGGCAGGGTCCTCCCTCTGTCTCTGCCGGCAGGGCCTGCTCTTCAGAGCCTCCATGTTGGCCTCCGTCTGCTGAGGAAGTCCTCAGCACGAGAAATGTGCTGTGTCATACGATTCAAGGGATTGGTCCCTTTCACAAACTGCCCCAGAGTGAAGGGGCTCCGGGGCCCGGGGCCCTCTGCCTTGTCCTCGCCTCTGGGTGGCCTTGGGCTCTCTTCCTTCCTGCCTGCTGGGCCTAATTGTGAGCTGCTGGGGGCGGGGGGGAGGAGTAAGGTCTAGTTCTGAGTCTCCCAGGGTCTCCTAATCACTTTCCAAGTGAGGAGGACCCTCAGAAGGCACTTCCAGACCAGGCCGGGACCCTGTGATCCTGTTCCTCGGACATCTTCAGAATGCTGCACCTCCTCTGCTTGTAGGGCCTGGTCGGCCTTGGCCTAAGGCTTACTGCCAGCCCGGAGCTGACGCCACTAGTTCAGCTCTGCGTACTTCCACCAGGGA